TGTAGGTGGGTGGCACATGGTGACACAATAATCCTGGGATTGGGAAATGGAGAGGTAGCTTTTATACATATACCTGAGAAATTTTGCCTTGATCCTGAGAATATCCAGCAAGTGGAAGTTGACGATCAACAGAGCTTGGAGACCACAGGACACAGATAGGTTGTGCTTGTGAAGACTAGCATCATCCATCAAACTTTGTAGATAACACACCAGTTTGAACCAGAAATTATGGTACCATTTATACATGAGTCAATATCCAGTATTGTGATAGTTACTAAAGAGAAATATGTATAACTTATCATTAAAAACTATAGATCAAATCTTCATTCCTTCAAACAGCTCCCTCTGAAGCAGTTGAGTATATGGATGCACCATCTAGTTCATCCTGCTCAACGTCCATTATAGCCACCTGACCGTTCTCTAAACCAAATGCGATCCGTTGCTGAAATGCCGCCCAGCATCGGACCCTCCAACTTGAGGGAACCGCCATGAGAGGGTCCTCAGCTCTGTAGGCCCTAACAGTGGTCATATTCTCTTCGAGATAGACCAATGGTACCCTGATCGGGTCCGAAGACGCCGTAACCAAATAATCTATGCCATTCTCCTCTTGGACTAGATCGTCTCTTGAAATGCGGTTGAAATCGAGGATCCACCGATCCCAGTAAAGGTATTCCAGTCCGTTTCGAGTCGCAAAGTATGGTGAGCAAGCATGTCCCTGTAGAGACATAAACTGCTTCATGTCGTTGAGAACATCGAGCACGCTCAATGTTCCATCGACGTAAACCGCCAGAGTCCGGCCATCTGTCGAAAATGAGAGATAGCTGGGCCCATCAGATCGACCTCGACTCGTCAAAACGACTTCGGTTAAGGTATCCAGGTTCTCAAGGTTATAGAGCCTAAGAAACCCCGACTCATCGAGACAGACAAGTCTATCTCCAGTATGAGTGAGCGACAGGGTCTTAATGGCCGATCCGGTGCCCCAGTGTAATTGCATCGTCCATCTTTGATTCTCGAGCTTCCATAGAACTAGTGACCCGTCTTCCCCGCCACAGACTAGGAGGGACCTCGAAGCCGAGAACGCGAGGCACTTGATCACAATAGAGTCTGCTTCGAGGACCATGGGTCGATTATTCAGTGGGCCGTGAACGGAGAGTTCCCATACGTAGACATTGCCTTCAGAGGAACCCATTGCAAGCAACCTGGAATTATTAGACCAGGCCATGCAGCTAATAGCGGTATTCTCGTGATGTCCGAGTTTTTGGATGAGTGCGCTATTGTGTGCATCCCAAAGATGGCCTTGTCCATCCGAAGAGACACTTACAACAAATCTTCCATTAGGAGAGAATTGGAGCGAGGTCAGGGGAGACTGGAGACTGGAATTCAAGACACGATCATCGTATAGTTGAGTAGGGAGATATCGTAAGAGTGTTGCTCGATACGTTCGGAAGATCGAGGAGGTAGGGCTCAGGAAAAGGAGTGCTGAGCGATAGGTTTCCGACGGACATTCCTCCAACATCTTCATGTGATCCTGCAGGAACTCTATGATGTCATTGGACCAAGAGAGTGCTTCGGGGGCCTAAAGATTGTTGGTTCAGCTTGATAAAATGAGATGTAGGATACTCTCTACTCACATAGGACAGACGTTGTTGGGTCTCTAATTTTTTCTTTAGAAGTTGCATCCCTTCAATACATTCGCTGAGCTCCCGTAGTTGTGCAGCGTGGTATATCCAGTCAAGAGTTTTACTTTGGAATAGCGGCACCAACTGTAAACGAAGCTCATCGTCAAGTAAGCCTTCAGCAGCATGACGCGTCCAAAATGCTATTCCATAACGAAGTGTGGCGTGGCGGTTGTCGTTCAAAACGGAAGCGACGGAGGGTGGAAGGGAACTGGGTAACAGCGGCTCGAAGGTAGACGATGGTCTCAAGGAAGGCGGGTTTGGAGGGTTGCTTGGAAGGGATTGGAGGAGCTCTATGCACACTCTGGCAATATTTGCGTGGCCGGCCCAAGGAATAATTGAGAATTTTTCGTCACGGTCGATTGTCTTGAGGAACTCGGTAAAAGTAGGATGCAGGATGTGAATGGGTCTATACAATTCTTTTGGAGAGTGGAATACGACGCTTCGCAATGAGGTTAGGAGCCGGCTGACATAATCCGGAACGTATCCAGCTTCTTCTGGAGGGCGAAAGAACGATTCAATCACGGCCGGGGAGACTGGTCGGTAAGGAAGGGCTATTCCCTGGAGAACTTGCTTCATCGCTATGAGGGAATCCTCATCTGGTAAGGCCGCCTCGATTGTTGCTTGATACATAGGGCGGAAAGAATCGTCCTTGTCCATGGCGCCTAGCTTGGCCAGGATAGCTGGAGTATTAAAAGTCTTTTCGAGATGCGTGCATGCAACGAAGGCTCTCTGGAAGAGATTGTGTGCATACTTGACCACAAGGTCATGGTCTTCGCGTCTGAGCTTGTTCAGTCGGTTTCGGATGTAGAATGCGATATCGTCCTGGCCATCACTGGGCGGGAACGTCAAAACATCTTGGCAGAGGTGCACCAGAGTCGGGTCATCAAAAGCCTTCTTGATGTCTGGTAAGGAAGTACTCGTCACGAGTACTTTCAGAGCAGATTTTGATGGGAGGTAGTGGGTAAGAGCATCGAGTAGCCATCGACGATCCCATTCCTCGCACTGGTCAATGCTGTCGATGACCAAGAGTAGAGGTGGCATTTGAACATTAGATGACTCGCTAGCCCCGGAAACGCCTGCAGGAGCTTTGCTGAGAAATTCGACAAGATCGCTCACCAGCACTTTGAATGCATCGGCAAAGGAGGGGCCACTTAGGTCTCGTACCTTGTCCAGAGCGGTGACAAGATACTGGGCTGATCTCCGATGGCTACCATAGATCTGTTTGGCGATGGTCGCCACAAAGCGGTCCACTCGACGTGTTTCCTGTTGGTCTGGGCAGAAGAAGAAGCGAGCAGCTAGGCGATCCTTCTTCCAAACATTTGCCATATGCGCGGCAACTGTGGATTTACCAGACCCGGGCTGGTCGCAAAGCCAGAATATTTGGGGCGAATCTGCGTCATCCGCCCATGTCGAGATTTGCGCTAGCAGCTGAACTCGAGTGCCCTCCATGACTCCCTCGTTATTCAAGCCGAAGGCATTTACACTCTTGAGGCTTTGAAAAATCCCTAAAAATACAAGCTTGAGTCAAATCGTTTCGAGAATCGTGGAATAGACCTCACTCATTTGGATAATATGGCTTTCGGCGCGGTTCAATACATCACGAACGGAGAAAAGGACACGGGCCTGCAGGTAGTTTAGCACCAAACCTCACTAATGGGATGATGAACTTACCCTCAGTAGTTCCCAGCCTCGGTTTAATTCATCAGTCAGGTCTTGTATTGTCTCCGCTTCCGATTGGGCTTTTCCTGCTTGCTTGACCCAAGTCTTTGGCTTTGCCCCGTATAATCTGTGCGCCTCGCTTTGCGTCTTCCGACTTATCCTCTCGAGGATTCTAATGGAGGAAGTCAGAGAAAAGCTGCCAATGAAAAGAATTCCAGACTAACTCTACATAGGTTTCAAGTGCTTTTTTGAAAGTAGGGTCGTCGATATTCCCAAAGTCGCTGTCGGATGCTTTCTCAACCTTCTTTTGCTCCGTTTCGAGAAAAGTGTAGTGATGCTCCAAGGTACTCTTCAAAATATTCCACCTTATTTCATTACGAGTGATAAGCTGGATCGTTGATATCAGCCGCCTTGCATGTGTCCTGGTTGAAATAGCCTACTTACGCGAACGCTATTGAGGGCAACAAGAGTGATACCGCATGCTGCCTTGAGTGGCGCAACCGTACTATGTGCTTCACCGGCTTCCTTGCCCAGTTGCACAACGGTTATGATGGGGTCCAACCATTTAAGCAGCTTTTGATGATTTTCGTTGAGTTTCTTCTGGAGCTTCTCCCCTTCTGACTCTTCAGACACTTTAGTAGATGCTGTTTCGGATGCCTCTTCTACGGCTACTGATGGAGCTGGCGATATTTCGACGGTGTCGGTGGGCGCTTCACTAGCAACAATGGGCGTCTCGCACATGGGCGTCGTTAGATTGGACGCAGAAGAGGCCGCAGACGAGGCCTTAGATTGCTTCTTCTTCTTTCGCTTGAGTAATATAGATTTTAGGAAGGATGGTTTGATCTTCATGTCCGGCATGAGAAAGCGAAAGATGTGGTTGGGAGAAAGTTTGTCTTGGACCGCGCCGCTCATGAGCCTGACGTTCACGTTGCACAGCAATGGAGGGACGAACAACTGTCCAGACTGTTAAATACTCTTCAGCTTCAATTCAAGGGTGAAGAACAAGGTAGAACCCTGGGCACCGCATCAACGGCATGAATTAGTGATATACAATGGGTTCATAACTATGCTTACTTTTATTGTTCCTTCCACCGGCTCATGATCGCCTCTCGGATGTACTTCTTGTTTTGAAGGTAAACGCCCATTGATGCTTGTATAGTCGCTAGGGTTGAGTTCTCATCTCTACAGTTCACCTCATAGCCAGAATCGTGAAAATGGCATCCAGTAGCCGTCGAATTGTTGTATTTGGATGCACTATCCGGTATTGTTACGGCAAGGACCTTTGGTTGAGCCCTTCAATAGCGGTGGACTCGGGTCGTCGGCCAAATTGGGTCAAAGGCTTTTTCGACGCGAATTTAGAACGTTGAAAAGCAGCCTCAAGACAATAAAGGTGGTTGCTACAATATCTCGAGTTTAGAGAGAGTGGGGAAGAAGTAGGAGCAGTTCAAGTCGTGACAATGGTCTTTGATTCGCTCCATTGTTCGGGTCTTGGCTGGCATTTCTAAGTGAAAAAGTGCTATATTTTAGCTTTGTCTCATTTATTACAGAGATTATTGTCAGTATCTAAGTTGTACAAATGCCCATCCTGCTTCTCCCAGTCGTGAGGCGAGCCCTGTTAGAGGCTGCTACGAGGTTCCCTTATTCCCATAAAATGCCGTGACCGAGGCGAGCAGAAGGACCTCTCCTTAACGGTATCTTAAATCCTCGAGTAACCCCGGTTCGGCCATATAGATATCGGTTGTACTACGGATAGTCTGTCGTCTTCGTTATCACAAGCTAGAATGATAAGGAAATAGTTTGTTAGCGAGCGTAACTGGCTTGCGTGATCCGAAGCGTCCCAGCGATTGTTGGCCATGGAGGCGATAGAGAACAAGAGGCGAGCACAACAAACCACTTGGACCTTGCCGCCACTAAGACTCGCACAATCCATATTCAACACGCAGCGTCCACTGTGGTATAGAGAGTGAACATAATCTAGGATGTCGAATACTACGGTATTCGAGAGTATACTCAAATCGCTACGGGATAGGTGAGTATTCGAAGATGCGGCTTTGGGCTAGTGGATGGATGGCATGTTGCTAATCGCATTTCTGTTCACATTTAGCGATGAGGGCGCGAGAGAGAAAGGACTACAGTCTTTCCAAGACTACGTATGCTCGTCTACATTGAACCTCTTGTGACTTTTGTGTTGATCGCCGTTCCACTCGCAGGTGCGAAGTAGCTTGGCCAGCGGCAATTCTGATGACTCCGAAACTTTCTGGGAAGAAATAATCAGCAAGGTTCTCTTGCCCTTGACGATGATGAGTGACACGCCGCAAGAAAAACTAGTGGCTATCGCAGCTATTAGTACGTCAAAAATTCATCACTCTCATTTCCAGCCCAGCCAACTTGGTAACATGATACTCCATGCTTATCACATCTCACTTGAAATCCTATAGACAAATTACTTCTCTCCCCATCCGACGACGCACATCCAACCTCGGCTCCAGCCTCCGACTCCCCCAATCCTAGCGCGACTTCCAATCCCAGTGCTCAACGGCTGTTGTACCGACTTTTACGATACCTCAAAAACCTGCTTCCTGATCCGAATCTGCAGGTCAGTCAAAGTTACACTGGCCCTGATGTCGGCTAATTTAAGTTTATGGCTAACGAACCTCTTCAGGTTATGGAGGGAGCATCGGCCACCTACGGCACCATCTTCAAGATTGGTGGTCAGACTCTGGCGGAGACTGTGGGAGAGATAGAAATTCAACAGGCCGTCAGATGGATGAGCGAGACTGGAGGAGAATGGAGTGGGAGTGCTACTCGCGCTTCGACCCTTGCGCAAATTAGCAACGCAAATGCCAACAATCCTGCGGTCGCTCAGCCACAGCAAAAGAAAGTCGAAAAGGAAAAGATACTCGCTGCGCATGCGCGCATTGCCGGAGTTCTTATCCTTACCCAAATCGCCATACACTCCCCCGACCTTTTCTATCAGAACATCGAGCTAATCCTCAGTCGAATCATGTACCCCCTCCGCGACCCATCTAGGTTCTACGTCTATACTGGTTCACTGGGTAGTGCGCTGGTTGGCAAAGAAGTAAAGGACGGCGCAAAAGATGGGGCTGCAATTGAACGTAGCAAACCCGCTTACGAAGCCAGAGATGTTGTCCGCCGCATAGCGGCAAGACTTTTCCGAGTCACCCTCGCTGTTATCGCTTTACGCGAATCCTCGCCAGAGGGCGTCGACACCTCCGAGGCGCCCAACAAGATGTCTTCTAGTGGTGTACCTGCATTGAGAGGTAGCAACTGGAAGTTGGACCGGATCGCCAGCCAACCGCTCATCACACCGGGGTCTAATGCGTCCGGTGCTACCAAGACGAATAAACCTCTCATGAAAGTAGCAGCAGCGGCTTCCAACGACATCACAAACTTTATTCTTTCCTCCTCCTCTTCAATTGATAAAGACTTTATACAATCCCCTCATTACCAACGCATCGTTCAATCTCAACGACACCACTCCGCAACTGGCTCTCATGGTTCCAAGTCGCAACCTCCCCAGCCCGTCCAAGGTGACATCAACCGAGCATTTGGCGCATTGCTCATCTACCGCGAACTCTTTGACACAAAAATGGCGAGTTTAGCGGGCGTCATCGCGACTGATCCAAGTGAACGAAGAAGGTCGTATTTCGGCACGGCAGCTATGGATGACGAGCATATGCGGGACCTTATGGGTGATGCATTAGACATGAGACGTCATAGTATGGCTGGCCCCGCGGCGTTGCAAAGAGG